GGTTTAAAATTAGAAAATATATGTACTACTATAAAGATCGTAAAAGTTAAGCAATATACGGGTATCTTTCGCTAAAAAATTTATTCTGTTTTCTTTGAGACACATTCCTTAATATAAAAAGTGCTGGGAGCAACTTCCTCATGCTCAGGAATTGTATAAAAATTAGCATTCTTTTCTATGAACTTTCTATACAGATGTACGACACAATGAAATAATGTTAATTTGCGGATAAGTCAACAGCGCACGAGCAGCTCCCAGCACTTTTCAAAATAGAAGAGATAGTAGCTACATGTGTTTAAAAACTCATAGTTTATAGTGAAGCGGATATCGTTGAACTTTTGATATTTTCAAGGGGCTAAACCTGTCATTCTAGTACGTTCCCGTATAACTGTGCTCCCTACGGCTTTATGTAAAACCTACACCTTTTTATTTTAGTTAAACGATAAAATATTGATCAGTACATTCAGTAAAAATCTATTTTGGTCCAATTATGCTTCTTTCGTATTATTTTTCTTTATTTTTACAAGCTAAGATAAAAGCTAAATCCACGCCTTAAGTACAGAGAAACCGTGTCAAACTAAGAGGTGACGTCATCTCAGTACAGCGAGATCAAGCTGGCTTTCATTCTACAATCGCTAAGTGCTTTAATGGCAGGATAAGTTGCACATTGATTTATTTTAACAATATTTATGAGAAGCAAAAGTATTTGAGTGTGTATAAACAAGAACATATTGTATTTATTCATCAAGATTCAATTGAATTGTTTTAACGTGACGTCATAATAGTTTTCCTAAATACCTAGGAACAGAAATAAGATTTTCAAAGAATTAATACATATATTCACTACAGAATCAAACAGATCCCCTAACCCGGGGCCACATATTTTACAATTTTGGAAGAGGCACCCTTGATCATCATAAATATATACCTGATTTGTTTGCTAAATACCCAGTAGCAGAGAAATAGACTTTCAAAAAAATAATGCACTTTTACTATATAATTGATAGAGTCCTACTCCTGTAGAACCAATCACACACAGGCCATAAATTTCTTTTAGAAGAGGAAACCTTGATCATCATATTCATGCACCTAGTTATCTGCTTTATATGCAGAAGCTCGAGGAGTGAAGATGTTTAAATAATTTTGTATTTTCACTGTATAATCATTATAGCCCCACCCTAACTCTAGAACCCCTTAACCGGGAGCCATGAATTTCACAGTTTTGGTAGAGGTCTCAATGCCTATTACAATCATGCCAATAATTTGACTGCTCGATGTCTGCTTAAGGAGAAGATTCTAAAGTTAGCACTAATTTCGATGGTTTTAACCCCGCTCCACAAACAAAATTCATAATTTCCATTCCTCTTCACTCATAGATGTTCTACGCCAAAATTGGTTGAAATTGGTTCAGCTGTTCCAGAGAAGAAGCTGAAAATTTTCAAATGTTGACAGACGACACCCAACGCACAACAAGGGGCGAAAACAGATCGTAATAGGCCACCTGAGTAACTCAGGTGACTTAAAAGAAAACAAATGAATGGCCAACTTTTTTCAGCTCAGTTCTTATATACTTTCAGATATAAATGAATGTGATAGTAATCCTTGTGAAAATGGCGGTTATTGTCGTAATCTTATAAACAGCTTTTCTTGCGACTGCCTTCCGAACTATTATGGAACTCGATGTGAAAATGGTAAGATTCAAAATTATATATCTGTGTTGTCTATCAATAAGGTGGACCTATTTATGTAATGACTTATTTATGGCATTTATCTCCTGAATTACATGTGTTAAGTATCTGCAATTTTTTTTCATATCATGAAGATCAGAAACCCTTTCTTATAATGTGTATTTAAACAACATTGTCTAACTGGTGTAAAACATTTTGTGATTTTTAGCGTGTGTGAAACCAGAAAATTGCGCCACTGTTCGCTGCACAAGAAGAGAAAATTACTACTGCACAAAATGTGTTCAGGAAAAAAATGATGCAGAACATTCTATTTATTATCATTCCGACGACCATCGAGAATGTTATGGTTGGTAGTATAATACATTGTATTCTTAATGAGAGGTAATTGGAAAATTGAGTATAATTGATAAAATGTGAAGATAACAAACAGTGATCTTTCACAAAAGTCTATATACACAATACAATTTATAAGTAGAGCCAACAAAAAACAGGGGTGAGATCAGGTGCCATGGAGGAGTAAGCTTCCCATGTCGATCGGTCACACTCTCTATGATCGGGTAAACAGGGAAAATCCGTAGACAATTCAGTATGAAAATGAAGGCCTAACACTTTTCTGAAACAGAAAGATCAGTAGCCTTTTCAAATATCGTATAATGCGAAAAGCACTGAAACATACATTAACGTATTTTAGTTATTATATTGCAGCAACATGCTCATGGATACAGAATTGGTGTTGGCCGGGTGAATGTGATAAAAATCTTGCTAAGAACTGTATTTGTAAGGATGGCTTCACCTTGTCAACTTCAAAATCGCACAAAGTTTGTCAGCGTAAGTCCTGTTTTGATTTGCCTTAGAAAAATAAATGATAAGTAACAAAAAGTTTTCCAGTTGGGAAAAATACCAAAAGGAAAACAACTTGAGAAATTAAAGCATTTGCGAACTATGTTTATAGATTAACATAATTTAGCTGTTCATCTTTGTTTTTCTTCAATTATTTATTTATTTTAGTGAATATAAGACCGACCTTGATTACCTGTCGTATGGGGATCCAAAACAGCGGCGGCGAAGTAAGCAATTCATCGCTAGCAGGGTCATGCTTAGATGAAAAATACAATTATACGAAGTTTCTGCCATCTTCTGCGTCTTTCACTTTTGAATTTAGAATCTCAATACCCAAGTCTCCACCAAAGCCATTACATATTTTTGAGTCTGGTTTTGGAATTGTGAATTCGACAGTGACATTATTTAAGAGTGACACTCACGGTATGTTCTGTCTATC